GGGGCGGGGGGCTCTGCCTGCCAGGGAAGCCAGAGGGAGCCGAACTCAGTTTGAGCCCTACCAGCCAGCCTGGCTCCAGAGCCCCTCCCTCAGCCGGCCCCCAGCCCTGCCGCCTCACTTACCCCACTGATGCACAGCTTGGTACGGGTTCCCCTCCAGGGACACACGGCTGATGGCAGCAAAGGGAGCCCCGAAGTAGGTGAGGATGGCCATGGTGGCCACGGCCAGGCCCAGCAGCTGGGGGGGAGGGGGGCGAAGGGCTGGGTACGGCTCTGTGCAGGGAGCACTGAGACCCCCAGAGGGCAGGGTCCAGAGTTGTCCCGTGCCCACCTCCCTCGGCAGCCTCTCCCGAGGCAGGTGCAGCTGAGGGGCCAGGGGGTTCTGCAGGTGGGCTGTAGACGGGCCTCTGCCCTAGACTCTGCACACAGATACGCACACACTGACACGGTCACATGTACTCACACACATGCACTGGCACCGTATGAAGGTACGTGGAAGTATGTGTGTGAGTGTGAGGTGTGTGGCAGGGTGTGAGGGTGTTGGGTGAGTATATGTGAGGGGTTGTCTGTGTGTGAGTATGGGGGGGTGAGTGTAGGTGAGGGTGTGTAGGTGTCTGTGTGAGGGTGCTGTGTGTGGATGCTGGGTGAGTGTTGTGTGTGAGTGTGTGCAGGAGCGTAAGAGTGTGTCTGTACATGTGGGTGTAACCACAGATCTACAGCCCGGCAGCCGCACTGCCCTCAGTGGGCACTGCCCTCCCGCTGACCCGCCCCTTACCAAGCCTAGGAGCCCGGTGACCAGCGCCTGGCATTTGGCGACCCTGACTCGGCTCCAGGGCCCCATGCTGCTGCCCTGTGCGTGCTGGCCTCCCTGCCGCTCCCTGTCTGCCCCGCCCCACACAGCCCCTCCTCCCACGGTGGTTTTCCTGCTGGGCGGGGGCCCCAGACTGCGGTTGCCCGACCCCGGAGGCTGGCTCTCTCCCCTGTGTCAACATGGAGGCCCGAGGCCAGCAGAAGGCCAGGCTCCCCGCGCCCTGCCCCAGCCCTGCCCCGAACAGCCTGCAGGGCTGATAGCAGAGGTATCTCTGGAGGGAGTCCTGGCCTGGTCTCTGGGTTGCCTCAGAGCACAGCTGGGGGAGGCAGGCTCCCAACCATAGGCCCTGCAGGGGTCCCACCTGGCCAGTGACCCTTAAGGAACTAGAGTGGACCAGCAGCAGCCCCACCCACCAGGCCCCTCCTGGAGGACCGGATGGCCACGTCTCGAAAAAGGTGCACACGTGTCCGAAGGACAGAGGGACCGCCCGGGCTGCAGAGGGCTGGCCTCACCCAAGCTCTGGGTCTGACCTGCCTCGAGTAACTGTGGAGGCCCCGAAGGGGGCAGACGGACCTGAGAGGGTGGGTGGGTGCAGGGTCCCTGGAGGCCCAACTGGCCCATCACGTCTCTGCTTGGGGGTCTCCTGGAAGTAGGAGTAGGAAGTAGGAGGCCCCGACCTGGCCGATCTGCAGGCTCCCAGGCACAGGTGAAGTGGAGCTCAGAGGCTTCCCGCAACCCCAGCCACCCCTGGGGTCACTGCTGGAAGATAGCCAGTGACCGGGGGCTGTGGACATTTGCAGAGGCCTCTCCCCACTCCATGGTGACCCTGTCCCAACTCAAGGCAGCTGTCTCTTGCCGCCCCTCCCAGGCCCCTGCCCTCAGGGGCCCGACTCTCCAGGGCTCTCGCAAGCTGCCACTCACTGGGATTTCACAGTCGGCCGGGCTTGAGGCTGACCAGATGGCTGCTCTGGGCATTGCCCACCACACAGGACCACTGAGAGGACTTGCTGCAGCTGCCTGCTGGGGCTGGCCTCTCCAGCCCAGGCCCCGGACCCAGCCCTGCTGGGAGGTGTCCTCATTTACCCTGTACCATCTTCCGTGCACCAACCCCCACCTTCCGCTCTGCAAAAGGAAGTGCCACCTTGGAGTGTGGGCACTGCCCCTGCCCGGCTACCCTCTTCCCCCAAGGGGGCCGGCTTGGCTTACTCTGGAGAACACGGAGGGCACCCCTCTGGGAGAAATGCTTCACACACACACACACACACACACAGACCCTGTCTGGGGCTCAGGCCAGCTGGCCACGGCCACTGGGATGGTGCAGCTCACGTGTCCTCCTGGCTGGGCAACGTGCCCACCGTCGAGTTCCTTGCCAGCCTGGCACTGCCAAGAGGGGGTGAAGCCTCAGTCCTCTGACCGCCAGGAGGGTCCCTGGGGCGGTGGGTTTCACAAGCACGGCAGTTCAAGCCCTGCGCCCGCTGCTCCGCGGGGGAAGCATGCCTGCCCCTGTATGGGGAGCTCCTCTCCATGCTGGTGGGGTCCGAGTCCACTCAGTGGGATGCATTCTGTTTGTGTGGTTTCTCGTGGCACCTCACTAACCAGGCTGGTGGGCTCTGTCCGATCAGTTGGAGGCCTTAAGAGCCCACACTGAGGTGTCCCTGGTAGGATTCAGCCTCAAGACTGCAGAGATGCCCTGCCTGGGTCTCCAGCAGCCAGCAGCCTGGCCTGCGGACTCCAGCCTTGCCGGTTTCCACATTCACAAGAGCCAGTTCCTTAAAATAAATCTTTGTGTGTGTGTGCGTGTGTACGTGTGTGTGCGTGTACGTGTGTGTGCATATCTGTTGTCATTTGGGGCTGTCAAGTAGGCTCCAATTCACAGTGTCCTTACGGACAACTGAAGGGGATGTGGCCCATTCCTGTGACACCCTCACACATGTCATGCTTAAACCCCTTGTTACATTGTCAAGTTACATCACCGGGTGTCAACTTGAGACTATTGAGTGAAGGGGTGGAGGCTAGCCTGTCAATCAGGTTGCAGCTTGATGACCTCATTTGGAGCCGCTATGGAGGTAAATAGCTCACCGGAAACCGGAAACCAGCCCCACACACGCTCACTCTCTGTAAGACATTCCTGTTGACAAGCCATGTGGAGATGCTTCCGCCACCACTGGATCCACCAGACTTTCCACCCCGTGGCCTGTGGTCTTCTTGTACTCAGCATCACTGCATGTGTTGCGTGAGTCTGAAGAGGAATTTACAGACTGGTATCAGACATATGGGCTAATATCAGGCTTATGGTCTTGATCTGTGATGTTTTCTTAATATACCATTACACACATATCATATATATAATTACTCTTTGATATAAAGTTCTCTTAAACACGTATGAGTGTTTATGAATGTGTTTCTCTAGTCTACCCAGACTAACATCCACCCATCTCATCGAGGGCCTACCTCTTTTTCGTGGACTCTACTTGACCAAGCACGATGTCCTTCTCCAGGGACTGGTCTCTCCTGGCAACGCGTCCAAAGTATCAGAGACAAAGTGTTGCCATCCTGGCCTCTAAGGGGCGCTCTGGCTGCACTTCCTCCAAGACCGATCTGTTTGTCCGTCTGGCCATCTGACCGTGGGGCTTTCTGGATTCTTGGCCGCACCGTCTGTTCTGAATCATCACTTCTTCCCCAGCCCGCCTTATTCATTGATCCCGTCCAGCTGCATGAGAAGCGACTGACACTGTCCTGCTCGGCTCAGGCGTGCCTTCGTCCTCAAAGTGACGTTTCTGCTGTTTAACCCCTTAAGCACGTCTTGTGTGGCAGCCCTGCCCAATGCACTGCTTCTTTTCATTTCTGGACAACGGCTTCCCCAATTCTTGACAACGTCAATCCTCTCTCGGCCTTCGTTTCGTTCCTTCTTTCTGCTTTCCCCGTCTGTGTTCTAGCCGCCCCGCTGGGAGGATTTCTGTTTCCTCTGTCTTGAGTTGTGATCGATACTGCAGGCCGGATCCTTGATCTCCATCAGGAAGTGTTCCAAGTCCTCTCCACTTTCACAAGTGAGGCGGCGGTATCTGCACATCGCGGATGACACTTCTCAATAGAATCTAGCTCATCATGCCTATTGAGTGAGTGTGGTGAGAGGACACGCCCCAGACGCACACCTGTCCTGATCTTAAACCATGCAGTGGCCCCTTGCTCTGTTTGCACCACTGCCTCTGGGTCCATGTGCAGGTTCCGTGCGAGCCCAATGAGCTGTTCTGGAATTCCCGTTCTTCTCGAGTGAGCCGTAGTTTTTTGTGACCCGCACACTCAAGGGCCTTCGCATCGTCGATGAAACACGAGTTGGCATCTCTTTGGTACCCTCTGCCTCCCGCTAAGATCCATCTGATGTCAGCAGGGGCGATTGTCCCTTGCTCCATCTTCTGAATCCAGCTTGAATTTCGGCCAGCCCCATGCTCCTCTATGGCTGCAAATGACTTTGAATTATCTGCAGCAAAATGTTACCCGCGTGATCTGTGAATGGTACTGCCGTGTGCTTTCTGCATTCCGTGGGTCACCTTCTCTGGAAGGGCCACAGACAGGGCTCTCCTCCCATCAGCTGGTCCAGCGGCTGGCTTCCAAGTTCCCTGACGCAGATGAGTGAGTGCTTGGGGGGTCCCATCGAGTTTCTGAAGCATCTCCATTGGATGTCCATCTGTGCCTGGAGTCTTGGTGGTCACCGCTGTCTTCAGGGCAGCATGGGCGTCTTCCTTCAACGCCACTGCCTCTTGATCTGAGGCTGCCGCTTGAAATGGTTGAATGTTGACTAATTCCTCCAGGTACGTGACTCTGTGGATCCCTTCCGTCTTCTCTGCGTGTTTCCTGAATTGTCTCATATTTTGCCCATGCTGTCATGGTCAGGAGTCATCTAGTCCGTTCCAAGCCAACAGTGACCCTGGACACCACAGAACGAGACACTGCCTGGCCCCGCGCCGTCCTCTCAAAGTTCCTACGGCTGAGCCCGTGGTGGCGGCCACCGTGTCCGTCCATCTCCTTGGGGCCCTTCCTCTTTCTCGCCACCTCTGCACGTGACCAAGCACAGTGATGTCTTTCTTTAGGGACTGGCCTCTCCTGACAACATATCCAACGTGTGTAAACCGAAGTCTCACCCTTCTTGCTTCTAAGGAGCACTCTGGCCATCCTTCTCCCAAGACAGGTGTTTGTGCTGCTGGCCGTCCACAGCACTGCCCATGTTCGTCTCCGGCCCCACAGTTCTGCTGCTGCAGCATGCACTGTTCGTGCTTCTGTATTCCGTGCCCGGATTTCACATGCATACGAGGCCATGGAGAATACCATGGCCTGAGCCAGGGGCACCCCTAGACTCCTTCAGTCATGCAACTCGAGGCTTGAATCCCACACACACACACCCCTCCTTCAAACAGGCTGAGTGTGTGGGTGTCCCTGTTTGGCTTTCGAACAACGGGCCCACGTGCATTTGACAGCAAGGCGTCCTTGTGTCTCCACAAGCTGCCTTTTGGAACTTTCCCTTTGTCCGTTCGCCAGAGGCAGATTCCTTGGACATCCGGTCACTTCTCCTGTGAGCCGGCCCCGTCAGCAAACGAGGGTCCCTGGAGCTTGGTTCCACCCACATCAGCAAGGCTGGAGGCAGCCTCTTCCCTCGTGTTTTGAGCCTGCCAGCCTCTGGGACGTCTCTGCTGGCACCCTCTCTGATGTTCAAAGGCTGCCAGTGGCCAGCCCCTCAGAAGTGGACTGCCTCTTCCTACTGCTCTCCGAGTGTGTTCTTAGCTGGGAAGCTCCCTGGAACCCATCCGCCCTGGGTGACCCCGCCGGTCAGAGGAACACAGGAGCTACCACCAGCGTGACACAGTGACTGTGTTAGTCTAGGTTAGATGCGGGGGTGTTGATCTCCCTGGTGGCACAGTGGGTAAGCTTGGAGGCAGCCCACTACTGTAGAGGCCGTAGCCCGGGG